AGAGAGAGAGAGGTTGGGGTACGGTACAGCCGGAGAGGAGTGCTATCGACCGGACAAGTCCGACATGTCCAACGAATAGGATGTGGATAAGTGGCTCTCCAACCCTGAAACTGCAACTGCGGCTGCAGCCGCCGCACGTGTATCGCCGGCGGCTCCGTCCTCGAGAACGTTCGGCTCGTCGGAGGCTAAGATTCTGGAAATGATCATCTCGGTCTGCAGCGGCAATTCGTCAACGGCGATCCTCCGCTCGAGCATGTCCACCACGCGCGCCATGCTTGGCCGGGCCTCGGCCTTCTCATGGATGCACCACAGCGCCACATGCACCAAGGTTCGCACCTCTCTCTCGGCCGGCGGCTCCCCCCCGCTCTTGAGCCTTTCGTCGACCACCTCCATCATCCTCCCCTGCCTCACTTTCTCGTTCACGATCCTGGGGAAATAGGACCACTTCGTCTGGGAGGCCGCGCCGCCCCCCACCAGCTGCACGTTCCGCCGCCCGCTGACCATCTCCAGTAGCACCATCCCGTAGCTGTAGATGTCGGACTTGTCGGAGACGCCCGTCCCGATGATCCACTCGGGGGCCAGGTAGCCGCGCGTCCCCCGAATTGTGGTCAGCACCGTACTCTCGTCCTTCCCCATCAGCTTCGACAGGCCGAAGTCCGTCACTAGGGCCCGGAAGCTCTCGTCGAGCAGGATGTTCTCCGGCTTCACGTCGAGGTGGAGGACGCAGTCGCGGCAGTCGTGGTGGAGGTAGCTCAGGGCCTTGGCCACATCGACGGCCGCGCGGTACCTCAGCGCCCACGGCAGGCACTGCTGGTCTTCCCGGTCCCCGCCGGCGGACGGGAAGATCCACTTGTCCAAGGAACCGTTGGCGACGAACTCGTAAACCAGGAACCGGGGGCCGCCGGCCACAATGCAGTAGCCGCGGAGGCGGACGAGGTTGACGTGCTGAATGCTGGCGATGGCAGAGACCTCGGCGCGGAACTCGCGGTCCCCGCGCTCCGCCGCGTCGATCCGCTTCACGGCCACGGACGTGCCATCGTCGAGGATCCCCCGGAAGACCGACGCCGACGAGCCGCTCCCGAGCAGGACCTGGAAGTTGTCGGTGGCAGCCACGAGCACCTCGATGCGGAACTTGATGGGGAGGCCCGCGACCTTGCGGAGGAAGCTGTAGTCGACACGGAGCTCCTCGCGTTCCACGGCCGATCGCCGCGCCATGGACATCTGCCTGCGGTCGAGGGCCGTGTACATGGCCAAAACCCACGCCAAGACCGTCAGAATCACGGCAAAACCCAACCCGAGGACGATGAAGAATACGAGGGAAGGGCCGAGGCAGAACCACAGGATGACGAGCAGGAACAGGAGGCTGACGACTACAGCAGCTGCAACAGCCTTTGCTCTCTTCGCCTCCATCGACTCAGACGACGCCCATAAGCTTAGGTAGTGTTCAATTCATAATCCAATCTCAAATTTATCGGAATAATAATTGAAGTGGGGATCGATGTCTAATATCTAATTTCCCTATTCTAATATGGCATGGGAGCTTAGGCTGAAGACTAATCCTCTCCAGCACGGGCATGAAAAGCCTCATCGTCCATACACAAGTTTTAGCACGGATCTTAAAAGGTGTCGAACATTTTACAGCCACAAGCTAAAGCTTGACTTCCACACTACTTAAATCCAAGTCGTGTTCATCAATGAATCAGTCCTGACAACTAAATAATTCAATCGCATTGACTTGTTCGAATTCGAGTGTAACATCACCATAGTTTGGGTATGATGAATGCATATCTACTAGCCACCGAATGAATGGAGAAGAGACCTGGCTTTCAAACTGTAATGTTTAGCGATATATATTTACATCAAGACATATATATTGTTATGTTTCTTATAATGGTTTTGGAGTTTTGTCGGATCAAACAGATCACAACGTAAGACATCGAACTGACAAATTGAATAACTGGATTTGACTCGTTAATAAATTTGATCCACGTCAAAGGCGGAAAAAAAAAGTTCTTGAATCAATTATGCAAACTATTATCCATACTTGGAAAATGGAAAATATCGAAAGTTCCAACTCCTTGGCACGTCGAACCGAAATGACTCGAGACACAATAAACCCAAAAAAGGATAACTTACATGACTCTTTGTGAGACCTCGCTGCGATAGACTTGACCTAAGACATCCTAGTCAAATACATCGTCAACGTCATCATCATCGTCGGGAAGAGGCTGCGCAGCAGCAGCAGCCAACTCTGCTTCACGCCTGAAAAAGATGTGGATAGAATAGGTTCGATGGTTGACATTATCCTATACTTTTGAAACCACAAATGAAGCATGATAGACAATTAGAAGCATAATTGCTGACACTGGACATTACTCGAGTAAAAAAGAGTGCAACATTTTATAATATATACAGCCACAGCAGAAGGTGCTTTGACTTTATATAATATGTAACATAATGATCTCTACTAGGTGATTAGAATATGATCATGATAACTGATAACGAACGTAAGAAAGCCATCGATAAATTAGACAAACCCTGATTCTAAATCTAGTGAAACCTTTTACACTGTCTGTATACCGTTACACTAAAACAGCATGTCAAATGACATTCTTTGTTATATAAAAGTTCACAATTCATAAGTATGGTCTTCTGTAAAGTTCTTACCCAGGATAACTCGATTATCAAACTAACAACCAATTTTGCATCAACTATTCAAAAATTGATTATGTGAATGAATTATCCAACGCATATACAAGAAGTGAAAAAAAACAATAACAAATGCAAAGAAAACATCTAATATAGATATCAAAAGTGCTTCACGTTGTAATCAATAATTAAAGAAAATCTGAAACCATCGAACAGAAATTGAAACAAGTTTCAAACTACTAAACAGTGTAACTTACTGTTTGCTGTGCAGCCAGGTCGATCTGAAGTTCCGGAGGTGCAAGAGCAGATGACTCTACAAAGTGAAGGCTTGGGTCCCTACCATCAAAAAATGTCATTAAATTTACCTTGCAGATATAATTCTACATGATGGATGCTTACACCAAAATGACTCTCATTTACCCTGCGAGTTTTCTAGCAAGATAAAGGAAGGACTTCTCAAAGTTGTAATTGCTCTTTGCAGAAATCTCATAGTATTGGAGGTTCTTCTTCCTGTGGAATGTAACTTGCTTTGCTTTAACCTACCTGTTTTTCACATCAACCTTGTTGCCACAAAGAACAATAGGAATATTTTCGTAGAACCTGCTCACAAAACAGGTTGAAGAATCAGACAGTTCAAAATGCAAGTGAAGAGGACAGTTTGTGCACATTCAATTCCAAGCATCTCGTCAAACAACCTGCATAAATCCCGGTGCCAAGTTGGAACATTTTCGTATGTTAACCTGGCTGTGACATCAAACACGATAATAGCACATTGACCATGGATGCTGTGGACAGAACATAGGAAGAGTGAGGTTCAAAACAACAAAGTTCACAAGAACAGTTACTGCAATGGTACCAATGTGACATCACAATGGCAGAAAAAAGAAGGTCAAACAATTCTGTGTAGCCCTCAAGGACTATGACCAAAATTATAATCTTTAATATAAAAAGGCTAATTAGCAATATTGCCACAACAGACGAATCAGAATGAACAATTTAAATGAGGACAACCAATTTTAAAAATCCAAAAAACATCTCATTGCAGTAATTTACTGGTCAAATTCCCATAACATTGCATCAGATATACTTTGTATATCAGATTGGTTATCTATTTATACTGTGAATCATATTAAAAGAAAATTCATCTGATCTGATCTACCTGCAATTCTGACAATTATGATCAATTACGAAATAGACTAGGAACTGTTGGCTAATATGCAATGTCTTTGTGATCTGATATGTACAAGGAGAGAATCACATAATGCTGCTTGATTACCCAAAGTAGCATTTAGATATTTACATACCTTAGCAAGCCCTCTTGAAAAGGTAATCTTCTAAATGTTTGACCTCTCTTATGGGCCTAGACGTAGAGCAACTTGTGTTTATACTGATTGTTCATTGTCTTCTTGAAATCGTGGCACATCTTAATTTTGCAGTTTTCCATCGACAACTCAGTTTTGCCTATCTAAGATGCATTTAACAAGAAACAATTCAATCAAATGCTGAAGGCAAAATAATGTTTTACAAAATAAGTTTCATATCTGGTTAGCACAGAGAGCAGATTTTTCAGAGTCAAAAAAGAAGTCATGCATCACAATCACAACAGAACTATTTGCAACAAATTAGATTTCTGATCAGCTAATATACCTAAATTAGTTACATGGTACAATAATTTACTCATTGTATCTAATGCCAATAGCCTCTAATCATTTGCTTAAATAAACTTCTCATGAAGTAATTCAGCATCAAATGTGGGCTGGCTATGAGAAGATATACTATAAGAACTCAGTCCTTTTGTTTAGACATTAAGTAACAAGGTATGTTAATAGTTGCAGCTTGCAACACAGAAATTAACCATCTCGTACATCCATGAAAACACAATGATCAAAATTAAAAAGAATAAAATTTATGACATACTGGTATCCATCATGAAGACCACCAAATTTCTCCTGACCAGCCGTATCCCAGCAATAGAACCGGATCTTCCCACATTTTGTGAAGAAATCCAACGGGTGGACCTCAACACCGATAGTAGCTAAAATATAAGTATATCCAAGATGTGGCAACTTCCATGATACTTACACTCATACTTCTTCTAAAATTCACCAGTAAGATGCCTCTTCACAAATGTTGTTTTTCCTATGCCAGAGATAAGTAAAGCATATACAATATATAAGAATTCGTTCTTGTTCATTCAAAATAACAAAAGGGAAGCAAAATTTTGAGAACCCTTTTGTGTAGCAATAGAAGGAACAAGAGATCCTAACTGTTACAGAAGGGATGTGAAGACAATGACTGGAAATGAAAGGAAAACAGAAACCTATGGTTATCATATTACATATTAAGAATGAACATAGCGCTAAATCCATATTGATTCCAAAAGGCCAGTTTATAATCTAAACAATATTGTCAATGGTGATTTCCTAATTGTGACAACACAAAAAAAAGATTAAATTCGACAGGGACAGAATGGCAAAAGCGTTTGATACCGGGGAGGGTAAAATACAGAATGGATTTCGACAGAACACCGATGGAACAGTTTTTCAGATAGAAAATGTCACAGTAGACAAGGAACGAACTCCTGAAGAAAAGTCGCAGTACAGTTGTATTTGCTAGAATGAGTATTTTGGATAGAAAAGACACGAACTCACGATAAAACTTAAATAAGATCGAAAAATAGTTCACCACCAAGTTAAAATCACAAAGGGATACAGAAATTCACCACTCCAAGAATTATAAACGAGGATATAGAACAGAAATCAAAAGACTCACCACTCAAGGACGCATCCAAGAGATACAGAGGGAGTTCTCCAAGAGATCTTCTGCCAAGATATCATCAGTTTCTAAAGTTCTTTCTAAGCCCTAAACACTAAAATAAATACTAGTGCATAAAACAACCCTTCATGCATAGGGAATTTCGAAATTAAGTGTTTTACAACTGCTAACTAACTCCTTTAATGCATTCCTTGGTCATGAAGAAAAGCATCTTGTAATAGCTTTAATTTTCTACAGGGAATATACTGATGAGTTGTCATATTTGAGTGGGCTAAGTTGAAGACTATGAGGCAATAATATTGGCTGAAAAAAATATCATAACATCAGCAAGGTCCATATGAGCAAATTGTATCAAATTAGACACTCCCGTGTCAATCTCCCCTGGTTGAAAAAGACTTGTCCTCAAGTCCTTTTTTGTTTCGTCAACTTGATTGTGAAAAGGACGTAAATCAGCAATATTAAATGTTGGGGACACTCCGTAATCAATAGGTAGCTCGATCTTATATGTATTTTTACTAATTTTCTTAAGCACCTTGAATGGACCATCAGCCTTTGATTTTAATTTTTCAAATTTGTCCAGTGGAAACCTCTCCTTTCTTAGATGAATCCAGACCAAATCACCAACATTAAACTCCATATATTTTTTGTGTTTGTTGGCAGCTTTCATGTATCTCTCATTTTGCTTTTCTATGTTTGCTTTAATACCCTCATGTAGCTTCTTTATCTACTTTGCTCTCTTATCAGCATCTCCACTAAATTGCTTAGTTGTCGAATGAGGGACGAAGTCCAAAGGACCAGCAGGATTAGCACTATAAACAACCTCAAAAGGACTCTTACCGATACTATAATGGATAGAACGATTGTAGGCAAACTCAATTTGTGGAAGAATGAGATCTCACTGCTTAATATTCTTGCCAACATAGCTTCTAAGCAAATTTCCAAAGCTTCTGTTCATTACCTCCGTTTGCCCATCGATTTGTGGATGATGCGAGCTGCTAAAATTCAAAGAAGTACCCAGTTTCCTCCAAAGAGTTCTCCAAAAATAACTAAGAAATTTTGAATCTCGATCAGACACCATAGTTCTTGGAATACCATACAATTTAACAATCTCCTTAAAATATAAATCAATAATATGAGATGCATCATTCAATTTATTATAGGGAACAAAGCGAGACATTTTTAAAAATCTGTCAACAACAACCATGATAAAATCCTTGTTCCTTTGAATTCTTGGCAGTCCCAAAACGAAATCAAGACTCACTTCCTCCCATGGAGCAACTAGCACAGGCAATGGAGTGTACAATCCAGAATTTTGACTTCTTGTTTTTGCCAAAT